TGACGTGAAGACAAACCCCGCTGGACGTCTCGGCACATATAGCGTTTTGGAAGCTTGCGGCACAGACTTCCGACGACCACCTGGGAGACTGCCGGCTGGCTGATGGATCATATGTGGCCTGGAGGAAGAGGAAAAGTATAGATACACGGGACAGCTCCTCTGCTCCCCTTCGGACTGCAGAACCCGGCGCACTCCCCAATCAAATCGAAAAAAAGAGCACAGCATGGCGCGGGAACATTTTTACCTTGCCTCGTCGACCGTCCTGGGCGGTTATGTTCTCTGGACCGCCGCCGAGACGTACGTCCGCTGGACTCACAACTCCCAGCTCACTTCCTTCCACGCCCACGCACACCCCCTCCTTGCCGCCCTCGTGTTCCTCCCCGCCCTGGTGCTGTACAACAAGGCATGGTTTCTCTTCAAGGCGAGGGCCCGCGGTTGCGGCGACACCCCCGCGTACCCGCACACGGACCCGGTGTTCGGCAGCGACTGGGTGCGGGCCTCGCTCGCGCGCCAGCGCGACCACGGCGTGCTCGAGTGGTGGCAGACCGTGTTCGCGAAACTGGGCCACACGTGGTGGTTTAAGACGCCGACGGGGTGGATGCTCATGACGGACGAGCCGGCCAACGTGAAGGAGATGCTGGCCACCAACTTTAACGACTTCTCCATCACGGGGCCGCGCAGGGACGTGACGCTACCGATACTGGGGCCGGAATCCATCTTCTCCTCCAACGGGGACGTGTGGCATAGGGCCAGGGCGATGATGAGGCCGACCTTTGTGAGGAACCAGATTGCGGACTTGAGATGCTTCGAGAGGCATGTCGGGAACCTGATGGCGAGGATCCCGAAGGACGGCTCGACGGTGGATCTGCAAGAGCTGTTGTACATGATGACGATGGACTCGGCGACGGATTTTATGTAAGTCTCTCAGAGGGTCGCCGGTCTTTTATTTTTTGATTTTTCTATCTTTTCTTCCTTATCTTTTGTTCCCCTTTCGCCGTACTGACGAGTATCCGATAGGTTTGGGCACTCGACAAACATGCTCACGGAGCCGTCCCCCGAGGCTCGCCACTTCACCTCGACCTTTGAGTACATCACAGTCCGCTCGGCCCTCCGCACGCGCCTCGGCCTCTTGGCCTTCCTGGACAACGACAAGAAGTGGCACGAGGGGCTCGCGACCATCCACCGCTTCTGCGACCGGTACATCGAGCGCGCGCGCGACGAGCTCGCGGCCAGCAAGGGCAAGACCGACAAGGCCGACCCGGAGCGGGGATATGTGTTCCTCAACGAGGTCATGGGGCAGCCGGGCGTGACGCCCGAGTACGTCCGCGCGCAGCTGCTGTCCATGATCCTCGCGGGGCGCGACACGACGGCCTCGACGCTGTCGTCGCTGTTCTGGATCCTGGCGCGCGACGGGGACGTCATGCGGAAGCTGCGGCGCGAGGTTGACGAGCTGCAGGGGCGGCAGCCGTCGTGGGAGGAGATGAAGGATATGAAGTACCTCAATATGGTGCTCAAGGAGAGTACGTCCATCACCCCCTCCCCCCCCCCTCCCTTGGCCCCTATATTCTTACGCATGCGCGCGCGACGGCCCGGATGTGGCTGGAGTGTTGAAGGTTGGGGCCCAAGACCTGAAGTGCTGATCAGTTCTAGTTCTGCGGCTTTACCCGACCGTCGTAACCATGTCTCGCGGTACAGAACGGGACACCACGCTCCCCATGGGCGGCGGGCCCGACGGCAAGGCTCCCGTCTTCCTCACGAAGGGCACACTGGTGCGGTGGTCAATCTTCCACATGCAACGGAGGAAGGACCTTTACGGCGAGGACGCCGACGAGTTCCGCCCCGAGCGCTGGGAGGAGAGGCGGCCCACGTACGTTTTCCCCTCCCCGCCCACCCATCCCCTATGCGAGCGGCGTATGCGTCTTTTTACTAATCGCTCTTTGGCCTACTGCAGGTGGGACTATATCCCGTTCTCCGGCGGCCCCCGGATCTGCATCGGCCAGCAGTTCGCGCTGACGCAGATGAGCTACTTCGTGGTGAGGGTCTTACAGACGTTCAAGGACATCTCACCGAGGGACGACAGACCGATGCAGCAGACGCTGGGGATCACGGCGAAGCTGGCAAATGACGTGCTACTTAGTTTTACGCCGGCTTAGGAGGCCGTCGAGAAGGGGGAGGGGGGGGCTCCTGTATAATGAAAGGAGGGGTTTGGCGGTGAGTTACTTGAGATTGCACAGGATGGATTGATGCAGCTTTCATGTTTGGTGAAGTTTGAGGATAGGACGTCGTCAGAAACGTATCCGTAAGCGACACTCAAGGACCTATCATTGACCCTTGTCGTCGATGTTTGATTTCCCTGCACGTCATCCGCACTCTGTGGCCACACTATCGACAAGCCCGGACGTGGCTTCTGATTGCCAACATTAGTTGGTATGTCAGCCTTTAACGGCTTTGCCAGGTCGTGTACCAAATGATCGGAGGGGCAGGGGGGGGGGGGGCTTACCAACATCATCGCGCAGCAGCATGCGGGTAGGATGAGTGCGTCCCGTCTCGGCATGCAGCTGTAGATTGGTGCGATGCCGCGCGGGACTGGTCCAACCCCAGACGGGCCCGGATCCTACATCAGCGGTCTCGTCGTGCCCGCCAGCGGTGACATGCTGGATCTCTCATGCGCACCATACGCCCCCTCCATCAATCGATCGAAGGAGGTACATCGACGCGTCGGACCGTTGCACGAAGCCTCTAGTGCAAAGTGTGTCTCCTTGACAGGTGAGAAATCCGTGCGCTCTTCTTCCCCCATGGGGAGGGGACGGGGAGGCTTGGGAAGCCCAACGTACGCTGCAGCAGATATGCGAGGGCTTCGCGAGCACCCGAAGCCCGCGTCTCAGCCACCCTTGACAGGGGGGGAGGATTAAGAAAAAAAGAAAAAGAAACGTTGGTGACCAATCTCAATTTCGATCCCGAGCCAACGCCCCTCCCTCGAATCTCTCAACCGGTTCATGCCATCCAACGAGTTGGTTGGGAGATTGGCGAAAGCTTTCTCTGGACTTGGAATGGGAAGGGGAGGAGAGGATGAAGCTGGTTTCGTGCAAGGGCTGGGGCGGCCTGCTTGTGTCCTCGTTACGTGACGAGAGCGGGATGAAACCTGGCAGTCGTGCTGGACTGGACTGGACCGTTTCGGGAGCAAGGGGACAGTGTCTCTCGACCTTTCACCTCAGATGCGCGTAGCCGAGCTCGACGACCCTCTAGATACCCCGACAGAGAGGGAGCCGGGCTGGAGAAGACAACAAACCAGCCCAGCTCGAGGTTGCGCGTCTCGGTGACGAGACGGGAGCCCCCCCCCTCCCCTCCCCTCAGAGTCTGTCTACCTATGGGAAATAGGTCTCGCCTGCGCTTGCGTTTGAGACATGCTGGACAGTCAGGCAGAGTTGTTTCCAAGACTTTCTCGGCGCCGTAACTGGACGACCCTGGTTTCAAGAATTCTTGTCATGTAGTACGATCGAGGGAGGAGAGCAAGACAAGACAGATGGGGGGCGGGGCGGGGCAGGGCCCATTCCTGTGGGCAAGCAAACAATCGGGTCCGGCTCTGGAGGTTTCGGTGACAAAGGGGGAGGGAAATAACGGCGCAGAGGGGCAAGGAAACAATGGACAGGGCTATGTTGGCTGTCAAGAAGAAGCTTGACATGAGCGGAACCCCGGGTAGTGTAGGCGACAATCCATGACGGAGCATTATCCCGCTTGACCGCTCGGGAGGCGTGCAGACCAACACGTTTCTTATTCCAGCTCGATCGGCATTTCTGCCCCGTCACGATTTCCCGGTAGAAGAGGGGGGGTTGCTGTACCAGCGTACGTATCACCCAGTGTCCTCCAGTGGCATCGTACGTCCGTTGGGAGAACAAACTGCAAACCGGGACGGTCAATGCCGGCTAGCCGCATGAAAGAAAGACTCGTACGATCCATCAGAGACGATACCGTTAGCAGTGTGAAGCAAAATATGCAAAGCAGACGCGGACTGGCCTTGGGGAAGGGGGTTGATAGTGCGAGGGAGAAGAGGGAGAGGTATGCCACGAAGACAAGGGCCCGGGCACATAACCCCATGGTCCCAAGAGTCAGTCAGTGTCAGTCATTCTTTCTTCATTTGCCATTCTTCTGCGGGAAGAAAAAAACACAACGGTGCGCTTTGTTTCCTCGGGGACACTTTCTTGCTCTCATCCTTTCCCGAATCTTTGGTTCACCGTTTCCCTGCCTCGCCCAACCGCCGCCGTGTGCTCCAAGCTTTCCATCGCATCGCCACCCCCATCAGCGAAAACCCCCTACCGAGTTGCCCTGTCTAGATTCGGTGATAAGCCGCCCTCTTCGCCCGGACCGCCATCCAAACGCCTCTCCTCGCGAGGCCCTTGAGCCTCCCCTTCGCTCCGTTGGCCCACGGACCTGGTGTCCGCCGCCACCACCATCCATCGCTGCCGTTCCGCGCACGCAAACAACCCGGCTTCGACGCCATGTCTTTCTTCGAAGGGGACACGCGCACGGGCGAACAGCCCGCGCCGCCGCCACGAGCCCTCACGCCCGTCGAGATCGGGGCCATCGTCGGCACCCTCACCGTCTTTGTCGGCGTCGTCGGTTCTCTCCTGTTCTACCGCGCCCACAATGCCAAGAAACGCCGGGAGAAGAACGGCGAGAGGGTGGACGACGACGAGCTCCACTTGCAAGGCACGGGGAATGTCAAGAGTGACGGCGGGTCGTTCCGGCCGGAGGTGAGAGTGGCGAGTCTGCCGCCGCCGTCGCCGCCGCCAAGATCCCTTCCACCCCGGAACAAGAAGGTTTGGGATCCGTACGAGGGAGCCCAGATCGAAGAGGCCAAGGGTAAGCTCGCTCTCGACGGAGGTGATGTGATGCAAACTGACGATGCAAAAGTCGAAAGTGCCGAGAGCCACGAGATGCAGGATGGGAGGAAATTTGGGGTGACGATAAAGCGAGAGGCGTTTTGATGGGAAAGTGCGGTCTTTTTTCTTCTTGTTCGATAATGATCATTGTGCTGCTCAAGAAGCCTGGTTCGAGATCCATAAAACAAGGGATCTTGGATTTGCGCATCTGGTGTTGGAGCATTTACTGTATATAGCTCTTGGCTGAGGATTGGATTGGTCAGTTTGAACACAAATACTGCCAGATTCCGTTCTGATTGCATCTCACGCAATTTGGTGCTTGCATATTGACCAACTAGCTTGTCAGTGCACTTCGGTTTACCGGGGAGGGGAAACATGAATAGCCAGCCAGTCTGTGGCTGGCTCCAAGTGTGGCGGCGGACATGTATTGGACGCCAACACCAGAACTGATATCCAATACACAATAAGCATAACTAACAGTCTGACTCCCCATTCATGATCTTACCTGAAACGCCAAAAATGCTTCGCGACCCAACCGTTTCATAATGAACTGTGATACAAAATTGCCAGTCCTGATGCTGTTTATCTACTGCTGACCGGGCTTGGGCATGTAGCGGCTTCTAAACGCTTGACTAATGCTGAACCTGCTCCCGATGGCGCCATCTTGCATCTTACTCGCGAGAGCCTCCTCGAGCGCGGACTGCGTAACCGAGGCGTCTGCCGCTCGTTAGCAATGCGCGGACTAAACTTGGTGGAGAACATACCGTCCAAGTCACTGAAACTGCTGCCCATGCTGGGCGTCCCGTCGCTTCCGTCCCGCGAGTATCCCTTTCTACTCAGGCTCTTGCCGGCCAACTCTGACGGGCGCCGTGGAGAGAGCGGGCCTGCTGGACGACGCTCTCCAGTCGAAGGGCCGCGGGACACCATAGCTGGTGAGCTGGTAGACGAATCCGACGTCTCGGAATAATGTATCCTCTCCTTGCCCTTTGGTGTCCGTCGGGCGTTTCGGGGGTCACCCCGCAGAGTGGAGCCCAGGTCCTGCGCCGATGTATTGGACGACTGCGGCTTGTATTGTAGGAATGCAGGTTCGGTGTCTTCGTCTTCATCGTCGAGGTCGACGGGCCCGTCACGTTGCTGAAAGCGAGGAGGGCGACGGATGATGCGCGACTGTGCAGGGCTAGACTCGTCGTCAGAGGATGTGGGGGAGCTCAGTTCGTCGGCAGCGGGCGATGTTGGCTCGGGACTGCGGGGTGTAACCTGGATGGGCAGCGATGACAGGCGACGTCGCTGGGTCTCGTTGGATGCACGCGATGTTGCAGGCTTGCTCTGGCGAGTTGAGGAGCCGCCGCCGCCGCCCAGATTGTGTGTTACGGTGCCGGCAGAGCCATGGCGGGAGATGTTGGGTCGTAAGGAACTCGTGATCGGGGTGGCAGGCGTGCTAGTTTCGGTTCGTGGGAGAGGAGAATCGCGACGGACGGAAAGGGCGGATGCGGTTCTCTGGTGGCCCTGAGGCTCGGCGCCGGGGATGGGAGAGGGACCGGAGGAGCCCTTGGCGGCAGCTGTGGCTTTCCGGACCTGAGCCCGCAGCTGGGCGGTGTGTCGCTCGGTTAGGTAGGCTACTTGTTGTAGGAGGAAGTCGACAGTCACATCGAAATGCGCGGCTCTGGTGGCCGGGTTAGCTTCAAGTAGAGGTCGAGCTCAGTTAGGGACACGAACAGTTCGTTCCCTGTCAACAGTTAGTTGGCAACATCCAAAGGAAGGGGAGCGCATCTTCAGCCTACAGTCAATCTCGGTTTTGGCCGCGTTGGACAGAATGTTCCACAGCACATCGTCCTTGGTGGCATCCCAGTTGACCTACGATGGTGGGAATGGCATCAGCATCGGCGACTAAACACCAAGACCGATCAGTCAACGGGCGGGATGGACATACCGGAAGGGGATCCGTGAAGTCGCCCCGGAGAATGGGCAGTCGGACGAAGACGGTGTACGTGGGATCAGTCATGCCGAGCGTGCGTTCGTCATGCTCGCTGGCTTAGCTCTGGAATGGTGACGGCCTGGTGTGTGGGAGAGCTTTTGATGCGGGCAACTCCAAGAGAGAAACAGAGACAGAGACAGAGTGAGTGAGAGAGAAGTAGGTAGCAGGGAGAATGACGGACGTGGTTTGGCTCGTTGTTAAGAGCCTTATCGGAGCTACGGGAACGATAAGGAAGCCGCGAGTGGGGCGGCCGATGCCGGCTGGGACCGGTTGGGCCGCGTCGCGCACTGGTCTTTACCCCCATGCACGAATACCGGGGTACTTGGGCTACAGCTATCTTATTAATACTCGCATGCAAAGTATCAATGATACGATGGTCTGTAATTTTCTGCCTTTCGTCTCTTTGTTTCACCATTACAAATAAACTGAGTTCTTCACCAAGGTGTCTTGTATCACATCTAGCTTCAATGATGTTGACCTGTTTACTGTGGATGCTTAGTCACATATGAGTTGAGCATAACTCGCTCTATTTTGCTGCTCACTAAGCAGCCGAGCTAGTATTTTCGTAAATAGAATGCGTCTTCAAACACAACCTCACTATTGACTAGAATTGAAAAAATTTCAAATAGGTAAGTACCACGAATGGGGGTTAGGCCATGAGAAACGAAACATTCACTAACATCTGCGAGACTTTTCCATCACTAATATCGAAGTCTGGAGTATGGCCATGTTTTAGCTTTCCCACGCCTCGAGCTGTAGAGACGCGGCTTCCCTCCAACTCAGAGAATAAATAGTCGATTATGGGTCAACCGAGAAGAATTTCCACCAGTCAACAAGCACTACTTATGGCTCTTGCTGTAATTATACTCGTGCTGCCATGCATTGCAGTCAATCCTGAAGCTTCTGAGCGAGATATTGAAGAACAGTCGCATATAATCGCCATTGTGAGTTCTACTTGCTGTATCAACGGGCTTTTTTATTGATAGCAATGAAATTTCAAGATTATTGGACCTTCATTTTCAAGTGTTGGCAAGATTCAGCGTGGCGCCATCAGAATACCTCTTACTGGCCATAGTAAGTTTGCTTTCAAAGGAGATCACCTTGGGTATTAATTCTTACCAATACAGGCAATGCTGTTCTGAAAACAAACAACAGGTTAAACCATATATATTCTAATCCGAGTATTTCGAACGCGTTGTTCAACATTAAGTAAGGTCCACGAGGGCTCTCTAGCAAGCCTTCGCTGGTTTTGAGGAGATACATGGTGTGCGAAATCACAGAACCCGATTATTTCATGCACGCCGTCATTAAGAACCCTTGCTCTTCGGATGGCCCCAACGTTGACCTCAGTGAAGGTTACATGTCTCGAGAGACATTGTCAGAAATCTTCCGCAAACTCAAGGGCACTGCCGAGGCTTGGACACAACAGGCTTTCGGGGCTGTAGTTGTAGCCGTTCCTGCGCACTACAGCGAGAACTACCGCAGCATTGTGAAAAATGCTGGAGAGTCCGTTGGCTTGGAAGTTTTGCGAATGATAAACACTTACGCTGCCGTCGGACTCGGATACGGCATAGAAAAGTTGGAGGATGAATCTGGTCACGTCGTCTTTTACCAACTGGGAAGGGCTCACTTTGAAGTGTCCGTTGCCGAAGTAGACATGGGAGTATTCGACCATCTCACTACAGTCAGCGACCATGAACTCGGCAAGGAAATAGGGAAAATCGTCGAAGGAAAGCGATCTACGGGTTCCTATCGTTTCGGTCCAGTCAAGATAGGCCTCTTCGAGCAGACACTTGAATATGTGGACAGGGCCATCCAAAAGGCAAACCTGTCACGTACAGACGTTGTTCGACTTGTGGTCACGGGTGAATACACACGGAATCTACAAGTTCGATCCGTGATAGAATCCCTATTTGAGGGAAAACGCGCCGTGGGCTGGGGCGATCGAAAGGATTCCGATCTGGTGCCAGGCACCTTGGATCACGATGAATCTGCGACATATGGCGCGGCGGTTATAGCCGAGATCCTTGCCGGGCATGAACGATACGAAGATGTTCTTGGTAATTTCTCTTTACAAGCAAGATCTTTAAGTGTTGAAACTATTGGTGGGGGGTCTTTGCGGGCATTTCAACGGTGGACAATATTACCAGCTAGCAGGATTTTGAACCTCACCACGACAGTAAACGGCAAGTCAACCGTCATCATTTCAGTCTTCCAAGGCGAGATTCCCGAAGTCAGGAAGAACGATGAGGTGGTCGTCCTCAGACTAGATTGTATCTCACCTGCACCCCGCGGCACCCCAAATATCACTTTGCTTCTCGAAGCCTACCCAGATGAGGTGGGCAATATTATGCTTAACGCAACAGTCCATCTCGTAGGAGGAAACGGAAGTTGTTATGATAGTGCGTTAGCCGTTTTACACAACTTCTATGACGCAAATTCTATTACAAGCGATGATTTGGAGCTTGAGGCAGCATTTGTATTCGATAGGATAGGGCATGAGTTCCTTGGTTCATGCGTTAACGGTCAGGACATGCTTGAACAGCATTACGTTACTAAAAAGGAGTATTAGGACTTGATGTTAGTCGAATTGGATTGATGTACGCCTCCTTGAACCAATACAATACACTGATATGCCATGTACTATAAGAGGTGCTTGCACCTCTCCATCATACCAGGGAATTCGGACCGCAGGGTAAGCAGGCGTAAAAAAACACTAGCGCTGCTCTTTGAGACAGACGGCTGCCTTGTGCTATAACGCACTTCCAGTTTGCTTTGCCTAATTAGACGACCGATGGAGTTTTAGTGTGTATTTTCAGTGGCCAACGCTGCCCTCAGCGCCGTTTCATTACGGGGCGTAAAGGTGACTTGATAATGTGCCGGCGTGATGATCAAGTTTGTCAAGTCGGCGGCTCCGGTGATGGGATCTGTGTCGATCTTGGTGGTCGAGGACAGCTCGAAGCTGGCCAGCATACGGAGGAAAGTGGTGTACAGCTCGCGATTGGCCAGAATAGTCCCGGCGCACATGCGGTAACCCATTCCATAAGTGAACATAGGAGCTTCGGGGTTCTCTAGCCAGCGCTCAGGGCGGAAGATCTCGGCATCGTGCCACAGCTCTTTGTCTGCCAAACAATCAGTCTCATCGGCTGTGTGAAAAGTCAGAGGGTGACCAACCCATGTTGCAGGCCCAGGAGTTGAGGAAAACCATCGTGCCCTTGGGAATAGGTTTACCCTCATAAACAAATTCCTTATTTGTGGAACGAGGCAGAGAGAGTCGGAGAACAGTAAAGTATCTATCGAAGTTATCGTCAGTCCGTATGTCTTTTCTGTTGCACTGAGGATAGCCATACCTTAAGCATTCACGCACGAAAGCGCGAACATAAGGGACCGTCTGATCATCATACGCGTCACAAAGAGGATTCGTCTCGTCGTAGGTTTCCCGAATGGCGTCAAAAGCCTTTTGCTGAATCTCAGGATGTGTGGCCAAGAACGCGATACCCCATGTCGAGACTGCGGTGAATGTCTCAAACCCGGCCGATAGCATCGTCAAGCTGATAGAGGTCAGCTCGACGTTGTTGAGTTTTGCTTCTTCGTCGAGCATAACATTTGCCTGGATACAAGGACTGTGGGTCCCATTCCGAATCTTCTCCTTGAGGTCGTCGTTCAGCTTGGACAAATACTTGTCTCGACGAGACCTCATCTCTACAGCGTTGCGCTTGCCAGTAGAGAAGGGATTGAGTCTCAGTAGAGGAATGTAATCCTGCACATTGTCGGTGACGCTTCTGGTGCGGCTGATCTCGCCTTCGACCGTGGTGATTTCCTTAAATAGTCCATCGTCATGACTAGGAACTCTTACACCCCAGTTGAGCGTGACAGCCAGAGAAAGACTTAGTCTTTGGACAAGAGGCATAGGATCAATTGGCAGACCGCCTCCTTCGCCATAGCGGAGGGCATCTTTGAGGAAATCTCTCGTCTCCAAGTCCAGGTGAGGAATATATGTCTCGATGGAAGGCCGATTGAGGGCAGATGCCGCACCCTTTCTCCTTCTCTTGAGAGACTCGTTGTACGGGGATGTGCCAATCGTGGTACCAGCAGTATTTGCGACTATCTTTCTGGTGTCAATAACGGTGACTTTTTGAAACTCGGTGGATGATAGCTCAAACCTTGTGGAAAGTGTACAGCTCGGGACGAGAGGCAGTTGCTTGGGAATTGTTCCCGAACATAACTTTGGCAGCAGCAGCAGTATTGACAACAAGAACTGGCAGGTTGCCTAGCTGAACCTGGTATACTGGACCAAACTCCTTCGCCCATTCCCGATACTTTTGAGAAGCATTCCCGCCGAGCTGACGCAGATTTCCGACGACGGGGAGTCCTTTTGGGCCATGCCAAGCGGGTAACCGTGCCTTGAGCCGAACCACCTCATTGGCAATAAAATAAAAGGAGACAACCAGGGCAATAAGCTTGAGCAATAGTTCAAGAGGGTGATGAGTCGTACCACGAGCAAAACTCTGGATCAGCTCGACGACAAACATGTTGGCAATAGTAATTGGATTCCTACACGGGCTGACGTGTCAAGTAGTCCGTGAGACAATTATTTCGCACCATTATTTATAATTGGGCGGAAATTTCTTTGCAACACCCGGTTCCCCGCGTTTTGATGATGGTTTGGTGGTCAATGCTAGTGGATCGACCGCCCTTTTCGTCGGAATTGCATTTCCTGATTCCGCTCCACGGTTTCCACCTATTCTGACAGTGTTCCTCTATGACGTTGATCCAATGGGGACAACTTCCGACTGTCACAAAGGTGAGCGCTAGGGCGGCTGGTGCACTTACTGAGGAATTTCTCGGATCATTCTGCGGGATTCGTCCACTCAATGTATGAATGCGAACATGTGATTCACCGTTGCCGGCATAACTTCGTGACCTGTCCATGTGCGGGAGTGCCTCGCTAGTAAATCACCACTCTAAAACTACCTGAGTCTGAAACCCACGACACGATTCAATGGGACTTAGATGAGACCCCTGTTAAAACGGCCTCGTTACCTGCAGCCTAGGACTCAAACAGCTCATAGGTTGGAGTGTTATATAGTTCCTCTCTATCCGGCACATCAATGACATGGGGATCTTAGCCTGCCTTGCGCTTATGACTATAGCATATCTACAAACAAATGCGAAACATCAATTGCAGAAGTGTTCAGGTTGTGCAAAATATCATCATCCCGCGGGCTTTGGGCAGAATCAGGACCTTCTTCCCCAAAAGCAAGACCTGTTAATGAAGTGCTGTAGCCCATTTCGTTGTCCATCGAAGCGAAAAAGCCGTTCAGCTCTTGCGTCATTTGAGCCTCCGTGAAAGGTTCTTCTTGGTTTTGGGGCCATTCAACCATCTCTGAGCCCCGAAAGGTATCATCGATATCTGTTTGCCCATTCTTTGGCGAGATATTGGTATTGCTGGCAGATGTCAAGGGCGTTGCGAGTGCGTGAAACTGCGCGCTAGCTTCCCTGCTTCCTCTGGAATGGGGAGCGTTCAGTCCCAGCCTCCTCCAGGCAAGCCGCAAGTCGCTGATCCTCCTCCAAAGCCTACTTGATACGTATGATCTGGCGCTAAGACCACGGATCAGGTCCAGTGCCATGTGGAACTCATCGCGGACGAGTGCGGCATGTTCCGTTGGTGCGAGTGCAATAACCAAGAAGATAACCCCGAGTGCAGAAACCAAAAAGTGATTGAAGCACATCTGCTGGTTTTGATAGATATCAGTAGACTGATTGAGAGAGTTCAGTCTTTGAATGGTATCTTTGGCAAGATTGACGAGCAATCGAACTTTAGATCGGTTGACCTGGAGGCTGGATGTTGAATGGAGGAACGGCTGTAGGAGGAGGATCTTCATTTGGTTGGCCCTTAAATGAAGCAGAAGTTGGAGTCGCCGAAGTCCACGAGATACTGGTGCTGGACTGGTTGTTTGCTGATGTGGGCAGAATCTGAGATCTTCCGGAAGATCTTCAAACCACTGATCTATCCTGTAAAGGAGATACGAGACTTCGTCATCACGAGTGGGACCGGTCGCTCGAGCAGAGTTATATGATGTTGCCCATACCTTATCGCCGATACGGCTATACTCAACCATGGCCTTTAGATAAGGAACATCTCGATCCTGTAAGAAACTCTTAGCTCCCGGAATACCGCGTATCAATGCAATCAATGGTCGTGTGGTAGACTCACTGGTTCAGGTAATTGCTGGTCTATATCGAAACCATGTATAACAAATGGTAGACCTGCCCCAAACCCCCACCTGCGATCCAGTGTGTAGACGCACCAAAAGAGTCTCATCACCATCTTGCGTTCTGTAGCTTCTTTGAATGTTTTGTTTATGGCTGCGGACTGATGGAGGCCCATCTCCAAGCACCACCGCGCAACGATGCCCACAAGCCTCCAAGCTTGCAGATCATCGCCTGTCATGAAGCTGTAGATGGCCTGTTTAAAGTCGGTAAGCTCAACAGTATATACCGCTTGCATAAAGGGTGAGTACCAGTAAGGTGAACAACATCGTGGTCTTAACGCTCGCTGATTCCCATAACTCGTTGCTCGCCGACGTTTTCACATTGAGAAATAGAGATTTTCCAAGTTGGCTGGAGCCCCCCGCTTCGACGGTCAAGGCCGTAGACAACACCATCTTGACCAAACTCAGGTCTTGGGGATCGATTACAGTCGGACCTGGAATTGCAGCAAAGGCGAAACCAAGTCGTGAACCTTTGTTCATTGCACAATGAAGATTCCGCACCTGTGTGATGAGCCGTTGAATATCCAGGAAGGGATACTGTATCCCTATTTCTTCTTCGTAAACGTTGAATAATCGCACGGCCTCTTCCTCATTGATGAGCCACAGAGGATCTATTGACCCAGAATCTAAACCAAAGGCAGCCTGTATCGAAGGAGAAGGCGGCCGAGTTGGGTTACCAGATGCAGGCATCCCACCGAGGTCCGCGTCGGTGGTTCCAATACCTCGTGCGCGGAGATGAGTACGAGCAAGACTGATGTTGAAGGTATAACTGGCTGATGGCTGGCAGCTGGCCTCTTCAGTGGAGGATCCCACATCGGTAACAGCTGGGTTCGGACAGAGCGCCGGAGTTACCGGCCTGGTGTTTGAAGGAATAGAAGAGGCTTGTTCAAACGTTAATGGGATCTCTGATCGCAACGAATTTGGCTGCGTTTCCGAGGATTGCTGAGATTGCCGACGCAACAATTCCAATCCTCCTTGTAGAGAAGCTACTTGATCTCTCAGAGTTTGAAGGGTTTGGGCATCGGCCTCACTAGATCCATAAGTAACGCTAGTATCAGAGCCCTTAGATAAAGACTCAACTCACGCATTACTTGCTCGATCCTTCCGAGCTTTCTTCGCATCAGGGTAAACGCCTTGTGTTGTCAAACAATGGTCAGGATGAATGGAATTGCAGAGCCTTACAGGTCAAGGCCTGACGCGCGCAGTGTAAACATGGACTCTTCCCAGTGCACTTGCTCTTTCTCTTCCTGCACTCAAAACTGCAGGCCGATATAATGTCAGTGTTAGTAGCAATGATGCTTAATTTGCCAAGCTAGTCTTACCAAGCTTTGGAAATGTAATTTCCGCGAGTTGTCCGTGGCTTGGGGGTGGGCGGAACTCGGGACCTGAGAGACCCGGATCTCGGTTCTGCACGAGAGTTGGGGGAATCTGGAGAAGCCATATTCTATGCAGACGTAAACAATGCCAGATTCTCCGCACTTGCAGTTTGTTTCGGTTCTTGGAACTATTGCTTACGAACTACTCATTCGAGCGGTACCCATTGAACGAAAATCGAACGATAAAAAGGTCAGGAAACAAAGGGCAGGATCGGAAATGCGGTTTCCGGGGCTTTTTGGGGGCGGCTCGGCAGAAGGCGACTCCCGCAGCCCCACTAACTTTGCCCTGACAGGATTTTCCGGGGTAGGTACAGTGCCCTCCAAAAAGTCTGAAAACCCCTCATTTAAGGTGTTGAAGTGCGTAGATACGGCGGTCAATTACAACAATATCCCTGGTCAATTAGGCGTATATTAATAGTGTATTTATTAGTAAATTTACTATAATTACTACCTTAAATTTATAGCCTTTAACTAATATATTTATTATCTAAATTACTACTTTTAAGTAAGGAAATCTATTTATCTAATAATAGTAATATTTAACTTACTTTTATATAGAGCTAATTACTATACTTTAATATACTCTCTTAGATTAAAGCTATTTATAAATTTAATTTACTAATTTATAGCTAATTAGTTCTAGTTACTACTTAAAAACTTTAACTTTAACTACTTTTATTTACTATATAAGTATTAATTACTTATTAAATAGAAAACTAAAACTAAAGTATATATAGTTAAGTAGTATTACTTTTTTTTAATAATATAGTATAAAATAGTAACTTATACTAGAGCTCTTAGGTTTAATCCTAGGTAAAAGTAAAAAGACTTAATAATAGTTATATTTATAAAGCCTATTATCTTTATTAATTAGTTAGTTATATATTTACCTAAAGCTATATTAGTATAAAATATAGTAATTACTTAAAGCTATAATAGTATTAAAATATAGTATAAGTAGTAGTTAATAAGTTAGTCTCTTTATTTTACTAAATATAGATTATAAGGTGTAAAGTATAATAGTTTTAGAGTTATTATTTCCCTAAACCTCCTTACTAATATAGTTTATTCCTTAGTAAGTTAAAGTTTTACTATTTTAAATAATTATATATTAACTTTTCTAGTTATTTCTAGTATTATTTTATAGCCTTAATTAAAGTAAATATAATAGTAAAATTACTAACTATAAAAGTTATATAGTTATTAAGTTATTTATAGTAAAATAGTTAGTAATATATATATAGTTTAGATATATAGAATATTTATAACTTTACTTTTTTACTTAGTATAATAATAAATATTTAATTATCTTAGTTAAGGCTATACTAGTTAGTAAATATTCTTTTACTATAGTTATAATTACTTTAATTCTTACTATTTAACTTTATTATTATTATTAACTACTTATTAATTACCCTTTTCCTTATAAGTAATAATTACTTACTAATAAGCTCTTCTTTATAATTATATAATATCTAATTAAGTTAGTCTATAAGGCCTAATTACTTAATAAATATAGCCTATTTCTACTTTAGTAGTGCCTTTATTAATTTATTTATTGTTATCTTAGCTAATAAGGTATAGACTACTTTAATCTTTTTATTTACTATTTCTTAGTGTAACTAGTAATAGTAAATATTTATATAGTATAGCTTTATCTATAGTTAAATAATTTTCTTTATAACTAGGCTAATTATTTCTTAGTTATTATATTAAATAACTATCTATAGGTTAATTATTATTATAGTATTTACTATAGTTAACTTAGTAATTAATTAGCTAATAAATATTACTTTCTTTTAGAGTATTAAAAAATATAATATAAATGTGATATAATATAAGTATATGTATTTATACTTTTTTTCTAATATAATATAATCTATATATTTATATTTATATTTTTTCCTATATATAATATAATATAAATATAAATACATGTATTATGTTTTATATATTATATAAAATACAAAGGAAAAATACAAGATTAATTCTTTTTATATATATCTATATAGTAGTCTAATAATATATAACGTACATATATAGCAAGTAAGCTAATATAGCAAGTAAGCTACTTCCTTATTGCATAGAAAATACCTATTTTCTAACTATTTATTAAAAAACAAATATATAACTAAAAAAGATCTAGTTTTCTTTATTATCTAACAATAAGGGTTAGATTCTAAGAAATAATACTATAGAAATTATTATCCTACCTTAACTCTGTTTTTTTCTTATTATATCTACTAATAAAGGTTAAGGTCAAGATATAAGGCTAGGATTAGACAATAATTTCTTAAATATCTTTTTTTACTTTTTAACCCTTATTAGCACCTATATATATAGTTCTATCTATTTTAGACAAGATTTAGATTTTTAAGAAAAAGGTAAAAAAGTACCCTTTAAGGTACAATAAGGAAGTAGCTTACTTACTATATTAGCTTACTTACTATATATATACATTAAGTAAAAATATATTAGTAGGTTTATATATATATTTATATATTAAAAAAATATTTTATTAATACTAATACTATTATTTCTTTATATATCTATATAAAAGTAGTTATATTATTATTTACTTTTAGTTACCTAGTTACTAATACTAAGACTTCTAATATTATTACTATAAAAGTATTTAAAATAATATTAGTAATATAATAACGTATATATATAGTAAGTTATATATTATAGTAAGTTATATATATCTACTTACCCTTCTATTATTTTAATAAGTTAATTTAACTATATTATATAAAATTAATTAAAACTATATAGTACTTTATTCTTTATTACTATCTTAAACTACCTTATAGGTTTATATATTATGTCTAGTCTTTCTATAATTACTATATTATTATATAAGTAGTTTACTACTCTCTATATAACCCCCCTTTTAGGATATTTCTTTACCTCTAGCTTTAACTACTTCCTTTTCTCTTTATAGTACCTCTACTTTAGCTATATTAAGTAACCCTCTAAGATATAGTTAGGTCTTTTTAGCCCTCTAGTACTTACTAAGTACCTTTATCCCTATATAAAGTTAATAGTTCTCTACCTTAATAATAGTAAGTTAATATACTAACTTACTAATACTCTTTAACTATAAGTTAATTACCTTATATATTAGTATTAGTAAACTTCCTTAATAGTCCCTAATCCTTTTTTTTAATAAGATAAAGCTTTATATACTCTCTAGTACTATTATTAGTGTCTTTAGGTCTTATAAGCTTAAGCTAGTTAAATATAAGTTTACTAGTATTAGTGTCTTTAGCTTAAAATCTAGGTAAAAAATAATAACTTTAGGATTAAAAGGTATAGAACTAGTTTACTAGAAACCTACTTATATATTTATTTTACTTATTAAAGTAAAGAATACTACTTTAAAGGTAAAAAAAGTTATCTTTAGTAATATATATAATTTATATCTATATTATTTTCTTAATTCTTTTACTATATAAGTACTTTAAAGGGCTAAAATAGCTAATATTAAGAGGCTAAAGCTTATATAATAAGTAAAAAGGTATATATAAAGTAATAATCTTTTCTTTTTATAGTAGTTATTAAATTTAGTTAATTTATAGCTATTATAGTTATCTAGGATTAAAAAATAATAAGTACCCTTTATATAAGACTTTATATACTAATTAAAGTACTTTAGCTAATTTAGGCTAATCTTATTTATTATTTATTTATTTTTACTTAAGTAAATACACTAATTAGCTAAGAAGTAGCTTTTTAATACTAAAAGAAGAGGTAATATTTACCTTTTATAATAATATATAGAGATATTACCTAGCTATCTATATGTATACCTTAAATAATAAAAACCTATTTATAATTACTAGGCTACTTTATATAAAGCCTTTTATATTAGTTAAAAGTTATAATAACCTTTATATATAATAGTATTTTATTAAGAACCTAGTCTTATTAAAATTATAAATATTATAATTCTATATCTTATACTTTATAATTATATTTTATATAAGTATAAACTAGCCTTATATAATTATAAGATCTTTAGCTAAGGCTCTCTAATAGTTAATTTAATATTAAAATTATATTTTTAATTAAGGTTATTATTATATAAAGTTCTCTGCTTATTAAGGTCTAATATATATTATATTATATTTATTTAAGAGTTAATTAGCTATATCTTATATATCTTCTTATTATAAAAGAAACCTTTAATTAATTAGGTTAATAACCTTTTTAAGAATTACCTCCTCTTTAGATATAGTTATTTTTATTAATTTTAAATATATTTTATATTATACTTTTTAGCTAGTGTATTAGTTATAAAGTATAGATTTAGGTACCTAGTAGATAAAGGCTACTTTTTGTATAGAGAGTTTTAGGTCTTTTTAGATAGCTATAAGTGTAAAGATAATCTAGGTTTTATAAGGAGAGGATTTTATTATTATATATAAAGTAAAGTTAGTTTAAAGATAAAGATAGTAAAAATAAGATAGATATATATAACTTACTATAATATATAACTTACTATATATATATATTATAAACTATAGTAATAGTTTATAACTCTAAAATATAGTTATAATTATAATTATAGTTTATAATTATAGTTTATAAGTATATTTTATATATAAATATATATATTCTAGTTTATAACTATACTTTATATTTATAGTTTATAGTTCTTATTATAGTTTATAAGTATAGTTATAGTTTATATAAATAAATAATAGTTATAGTTATAATTATAGTTTATAAGGATAGATTATAAGTATAGTTTATAAGTATACTTAATATATATATATAGGTTATAGTTTATAAGTATAAACTATACTATAGTTTTTAGGTTAAGTATACTAAATATATATAATTTATAGTTTTAGTTATAGTTTCTAAGTAAAGTTATAGTTTATAAAGATAAATTATAGTTATAGTTTTAGTTATAGTTTATAAGTATATTTTATATATATACTTAATAAATATAGTTTAAAGGTATATTCTAGTATTACTAACCTTTTAATATAAAAGACTTACTTTAAGTAGTTATATTAATAATTTAATATTAATATTTTACTTTAGCCTATTATACTTGTCTTTATAAAGCTAGCTTAGTACTTTATAAGATATAAAATAGACTTTTAAGTAGTATATATATAATATAACTATAATATAATATATATATATAGTAA